GGCTCTTTTGTTTTTTATTTTGATTAAATCTCGGCGCCTCGCTCAGCTTCTGCGTGCTAGCTAGCCTAGGAAAGTAAACAGATTTGGTGAGCCTGGCCCATATTCGCACCGTCGCACGTACTCACGTGGAGACCGGAGAGAAAAGGAATCGTTCCATTGATTTCCTGTAACTTTGGATCGGTCGTTCCCTGCCTTTTCTGCTCTTTCGCTGTACGTGTTCGTCTAATCTCATCGACTCTGTGACTGTCTCTGCCTCCTCACGAACGACGCCAGGACTGCGGCAGGTACATCTGATCGCGCCCTCTTCGTCTCTTCCCTCGCATGATTTTCGTCCTATTTCTTTTCTTTCTCATCCCTGATTCCTAATTTCTCGATCGATTGACAGATTGACATATTAACACGGCATTGTTTTTAGGGCGCTCAAATCATTGCGTCCACTTTGCCAGATTAGATTATATAGAGAAGGTATTATTCCATGCCCTAGCAAATTCTCATTATGTTAGATGATCTTCTGCACTTAATCTAATGTATTAATTAACTTTGCGGTAGTTTTAAAAGCTAATTGTTCTTTTCAATTTCAGCAGGGTCATGTCGAGTTCAGGTAGAAAGTATACATCCAGAAGTCATAAAAGGAAAAAGAAGGAGGCAGATGAAGAGAAAGAAGCATTGAGCGGATCTCTTTTTAAATATTATAAGAGCGATACGAGCACGCCAAGAAATCCAGACGAGTTGGCGATAGTTCTTGCGGGTGACCAAACTAATGGCAATCAAGAAGATGATGGTCATACTCCTACAAAAGGCAATGTTGACGTCAACATGGATGATAGCAATGTGAGTAATCATGAGCCCATATTTAATTCATATGCGGTAGAATCTACTAGTGTTGATGAGGAACAAGTTAGTGCGGATATTTATGACCCAAGCAATTGGGGTAATCTTGATAACAAAGCGAGGGACATATTAGTGGAAAAGGGGCCTAAAATGGAAGAAGAAAACAATAAATATCCTTTGGATGAAAATTCAAGACATTTTTCATATAGCCATTACTCCAGAAAGATGAGCAATGGAGAGGTGCGTGATAGGAAATGGTTAGTTTTCTCAAAACACACAAAGAAAGTGTTTTGTTTTCGCTATAAGCTTTTCAATTATGATAAATGCAAGAGTACAATGGGGAATGATGGGTTTTGTGATTGGAGGCATATTAATGAGAGACTGAAAAAGAGCACGAAGCTAGTGATTTTGCATCTCAGAATGTTAGGAGAAATTTTTGAAGCTATATGTAATACATTATGTGATATGCACAATCATTTTGGATGCACTTTCTTTGATACAAATTGTATGTACATACGATGATTATTAATAGGCATTTATACTAAGGGCCCCCAAGGGCCCCGGATTGTCGTTTCGCCCCGGGCCCCCAAAATCTTAAGACCGGCCCTGTTTCCAAATTGTAGTTGAGTTGGAATTTCATAATCATTCCAAGTACCCTTGTTTTGGAAGGAAAACCATACTCAAACTGAATAATACTTTCCTCTGTTTGCTTAATTCCATCAATTCAGTAGCTACACCAGACAAAGGATGCTCCGATAAGTGATATATCTGTTTTTCTGTTTAATAATTGCAAAATGATGTGGACAACCAGGTGTGTGTATGTGACTATGAAAAGATGTGTATTACCTTGACGGGAATAACTCTATTTTTATACCAGCATTGTCTTTAATAGTCGGGTTGTGTGTTGTCATGAGCAATATGCAGAGGCGTAAGCACACTGGCAGAAAATGATGCTTGCGGTATGCTAATCCGTATAGGTAACTTGTCTAGCAAATACTCCCTCCGTTCCTAGATATAATTCTCTGTAGAAATTTCACTAAGTAGACTACATACGGAGCAAAATGGATGAATATATATTTAAAATGCATTTATATACATCCGTATGTGGTTCACAGTGAAATTTCTACAAAGACTTATATTTAGGAACTGAGGGAGTACTTGCTTGTTCTGGCATCTTAAACAAGATCCAGTGGTTCTTTTTTAATAATTTCTTCTCAATTTTGGAACAATCACACATAATAGTACTACTGATCTAAGATGTGGTACTTCTGTGCTTCAGAAAAGATAGATGTACCAAAGAGTAACACTAAAATTCAGATCCAGATATGGGTAGGCCTGGACACGAGCCGAGCCGAGCCGAGTCGAGTTCAGACCGAGCCAGCCTTTGGCTCACCTAAAGCGAGCCGAGCTCGGCTCGGCTCGTTCGTTGAACGAGCCTGTTTCTGGTGGCTCGGCTCGTTTTGCCTTTGGCTCGGTCCAGCCCGAGCAGCTCGTGTGTCACACGCCTCTGTAGTATGTGCTTGCATTCGTCGGGGCGGCGGATGCTTGGCTAGCCAGGAAATGCAGCGGCCGATGCGGCGATGACAGGGCGCGTCTGCCGTCGGTGCCGAGAGTGCCGTCCAGTGTCGGGCGCGGCGAGGACGACGACGGCATCCGGCATGGCGAGGACGACGACGGCTACACTCTACACAATCAAGCAGAAGCATTCATCCATCCATCCCTCCATCGCGTGTACGCAGGTGCAGTGCAACCATGCAGGTAGGACTCCTACATGCAGGGGAGCATGTATGTCGTCTGCCGTCCTTGCGCTCGTGCAGGGGAGCGCGAGAGTGCCGAGCATGTGCGCGCCCAGCCATAGGGATGGGAAGAAAGGAGAGTACCTGCTCGTCAGGTTCGGCAAGAAACCAGGAAAGGCGCGTCCGCCGGCGTTCGGTGTGGTGAGGAAAGGCCGCCGCCCCGTCGCCATCGGTCCACTTTTTGCGCCGCGGCAAGGTGAGGGATGAGATAGCGCCGACCAAAGGAAGGGAGGGGCTCGTGCCCTAATGCCAGAACGGCCGATGGGAACTGGGCTGGGCCTCGAGCGAGTCACCGAGTTGGACCAGGCGAAACTCGGCTCGGCTTGGTCGGGAATCGGGCCTCTTTTCACAATTGGGCTCGCTCGTTTATTGTATCGGGCCGAGCTGTAACGGGCCGAGCTGGAGCGAGCTTCGGGCCGAGCCGAAAAGCTCGCTCGGACGTCCAGTCCTAGATATGGGTGCCCAAATTTAGTTGACTATTAGCTTTTATTCATAGCTCCTTGTCAAATGTCAATCAATGGCCAAAGACTCAAGGACATATCCAGTACTGTACTCATCTACGATTCATCTTATCCCAGTGATAAAAATCCTAGGATATTATGCGCAATGAGCAACCTTTGATCTCACTTTCAGCCCTTAAATGCATGGAAGAAGTTTCTCCGTGCGTTAAGTAGATTAGTGCCTGTAGAAGGTTATGATTGCACGATGTATTGCTTTTCATGCATAGGCACGTATATATGATATACAAAGGTGGGCCACGGACCTCAACTATACATGGAACTAAGAGGCGGGCCCAATACACAATATACACATAACACATATACTCA